CGAAGAGGAGCGTGGGCGCGGAGCCGCCAGGCGCCCACGGCAGCCCTGACCCTCCGGACAGGGTGCATCGGTCCCAGTGCAAACTTACCTTTTTCCCAGTCTGTTTCTCCACCATGTCGTTGCTGAGAGGAGATTCTTCTTGCTGTGGTGTTTTAGAACACCCCCCCTTGGGCATCGTTCTGCTCCCCTCACTTGACCTTCATTTATTCTGCCATTGCGTCGTCATCAACAGTCTGCGTGGAGAAAGAGAGAGGTGACAGGGAGTGACACCTGGCTCTATGGAGGGACTGACACCCACTATACCACAGAGGGGGAGGCTGACACCTGCTCCCCACCCACGGAGACAGCACAAAGCCCACCGGTCTCAGGCCAGACTGCACAGACCATGAGCAGCCGAGGTCCCCAGCTGTTCTGCCCAGGGTCAGAGGGTCCCCAGCCACAGAACAGCAGCTTCACGGCCTGAAGGAGAGCACAGGGGAGCACATTCCTAGGCAGCGCACAAGCAGGCCCTGCAGGGGCAACGGCTGTGTGGCATCTGGGTGGCAGCTGTCAGCACCTGGCACAGGCCATCCCCCAGACGATGGGCTCCGGCCCTGCCTGGCCGGCATGGGTTGGTGCCAGCAGGTGGTCCCTTCCCCGAGTCTCTCGGGATTCCGGGCATGCGTACACGTGCCCAGTGTGAGTTTTAAGTGGCTGGGGCCCATGGGAGGAGAGTAACAGACCCATTATGCCACCTGCAGGTCTCCAACTTTTCCTTTTCAGACGTTTATTTATCTATTTACTTGTGATTTCAAGTCATCGGACCCCAGACTTGAACCACTGTCAGTCACGTGGGATCCAGCACCTTAATGACCACACCACCTGCTGGCCCCAAGCTAACTTCTAAGTCCTGGAACTCCCAGAAACACAATTTACGAGTAGTCCATAAACATGAAAACAAACAACACCGGAGGAGACCAGGGGCCCCACCCTGGAGCCCATGGGGGGGACTGAGAGCGCGTCACTCTGGTCCAGGCCGCCTCCCTGGGGCTGGCAGCCACGGCGGGCCTCGGAGCTCACATGACAGACTGGTGCAGGCAGCCCCCACCTACTTCAGGGACACGCCTGGGCGGGCTCCTGGGGCGGGCTCATGCACGCTGGTCCTGGCGCAACGGCGGCAGGTGGGACCCCGGGCAGAGCAGCTGCCTGCACGGGCCGGTCCCTCCTATAGTCCCACTTGGGAGAGGGCCACGCCGGGCCACCACGAGGGGATTAGTGTTTCACTCCACACCGAAACAGCACACTCAGCCCCAACACATGAACTGGGGGCCGGTACGCAGAACAAAGAAGGTCGACAACCCACGACTGAGGCCGAGGTAAAGGCCACGGACCTCCGTGTCCTCAGGGTGCCAGCAGGTCTCGGCAGCGGTAAGGTCAGTTCTGGAATTTCGCATGTCTGTACTTACTAATTCTCGATGGCACGTGTGTGGTTTCTGCGTCTAATCACACAAAACCCACGTGACAGAGTCGGGGTTCCGCCAGAGGGGCCTGGCATGCCCACTGCAGGGCGGGCGGGGGTAGGGCCGGCCCTCTCCTCATCTGGAAACTGCCCCACACTGCCTCTGCCGCCCGGTGGTCCTTTCCGGTCGTCAGGATAAAAGGCAGCTTCTCACTAGCCAGCTACTAAATCGTGTACTAGTAATAGAACCTGAATTCCCTCCTGGGTTCAGCCCAAGGGGTCAGGAGTAACCAGGTTTGCTCTAAAGCTCACACTCACCAACCAAGAACAGAAAAAAGGGGGCCTCGAAGAAAGGAAAGAAGAACGCTGCAAAGTAGGACAGCCAGGCTGTCGCCACACTGAGGCCAAATTACTGTCTTTAAAATAACTGATAGAAGGAACCAGCAGTTAGCATAATGGCTATGTCGCTGGATTCCCACGTAGTCGACCGCAGTTCATGTCCCCGACCCGGCGGCTTAAAACTCACGCCGGGCCGCTGGGCGGACG